GGAGCACTGGAACAGGCTGCCCAGGGAGGTTGTGGAGTCTCCTTCTCTGGAGATATTCCAGACCTGCCTGGACAAGGTCCTGTGCAGCCTGCTCTGGGTGACCCTGCTTGGGCAGGGGGTTGGACTGGGTGACCCACAGAGGTCCCTTCCAACCCCGACCATTCTGTGATTCTGTGATTCTCTACCAACAGCCAGCGAACAGCTCAGTCCTTGCAGGTGAAACCTTCTCTCCAGTCTGCCCTGCTGGTGTATCCAAAGGGTTTGCAGCATATTGGGTTTTGTTCCCTGTTGGTGGAGGTATTTAGCAGGAGGACATCTGTGTGTAGCGACTGCTGGGTTTTTTAAAAATAGCTTTTGCTTTCTTTGCTGGCTTCTTTCATTTCATATAGAAAAATCTGGGGCCCATCTGTAGTGCTGAGGGGTGAATGTTGCTCCTTGATTTTCAAGGAATTTGATGCATGAGATTCTTGACTGAGTAAGTCCCTGTGCTGTTATATTTTTCTGCTTCCCTGTTCAAACACAGAGGAGGCGTTTGAAACACGTTGGAGAAAGTGTGGTTATTTTGGAGTGCCACAGTGTGTGCGTGTTAATTTTTTTTTTTTCTAGCTTTATCAAATACGTGAGAAATAGGAGATGGAAATAAAAGTATGACAAGATGTCTGTGTGTATATAGATATTTTTATTTTTCCCAAAAACCTGCTGCCTACTCTCTGCAGCATGGGTTATGACCCTAGAAGACATTTGGCGGCCTTCACTTGCAGTGGTGTGGATTAAGATTGCAGATCTACAAGCTTGTCCCTCTCACGTGTAGGCATGAGAGGGTTGAATACTGACTGTTGAAGTTCTTCCAGCACTCTCTGTCTTTTTTCTTTTGTGTGATGAGTGGAAAGTGGGTTTGCAAGGAGGAAGAGGAAGCAAGTAGTGAAGATTAGTGGATACGTGTGTCTGGGAACCCTGTCATTGCCGTTTTGTACACCACTGCTAATAGCAGCAATAAATCTTTCTGGTAAATGAAGTGCAGGGCTGTTGTGAATCCTTAATTATTTGGCACAGAAGGGCTTCATAAGAAGTTGCCTCTGACGCCAAGCTCTGTGCGTTAATCTCCGCTGATACGTGTCACTCTTGATTTTCCATGCAGTACTAAAAATGGCAAAGTTAGGGCCATTACTTAATGCCATGTCTTAACCCCACCAGCTGCTGTTTCCAGATCAGATCAGTTGTACCCCCTGCCTGGCAAACACCTTAGCCATTACCTTGTCTACATAACTCAAGTTTGAGGGTCAAATCCTCAGCAGCATGCATGTGAAATGTGCAGAGGCGAGTTGGTTTGCGTGTGCCCTGACGGTGGGGACTGCAGCACGGCGAACGAAAACCTGGAGAAGGAGCTGGAGGACTTTGGTACTTTCCCAGATTTTTCATAGACCTGCTGTGAGGTCTCAGGAGAGCCTTCATCTGTTGCTGCATTTCTCAGCTCTTCCCATCTTTTCGTTTAGATTGTGTGTTCACTGGAATTTGGCCTTTTTTGGGGTGTTTGTGTAGGCCTGGCACACTTAGAGTAGTGGGCAGCAAGAACAGTGACTTCCTAGTGAAGATATTTTTTGTACCCCTGTGACTGAGTTGTAGCACTTGTTACCATTTAAAAAAAGAATGTAAGATGCATATATGCTTTGCAATGTAAATAATCCTCCCAATTACTGCTTTTCAAAGAACATCTGACAGCAGCTCTTGCTGCTGGTAGTTAGCTCAAAACCTTATGCTTATTACTTTATACCTCACTGTATTCTGTCACATGCACATGGATAGCTTCCTACTTTTTAATTGTCCTTCCAACAAGGAATTTGAAGCGCTAGCCGTGAAATGCTGATGGAGTAAAACCTTGTAAAGTTCAACTGGCTGTGCCAGAATTGTGCTCTGGCAAAACCCTAACCCTGGTTTTCATTGAACTTAATGAGATGAGGAAAAATAAGGGGAGTTAGGTAGGTGAGAGCTCCTGCGCTGCTTTTTTCGTGTGAAATTGTATTTTAATATGTGTTGAGGCAGGAGGAAGAGGGGTGAGGTCCCACGGTGTTCTCGCAGGCTCTGCAATGCTTAGTCATGACAGAAGGAGTTAAGAACAAAACTTCAACCCAGCTGCCTCTCAGCAAACTTTGTGAAGAAACGCCACCTCTAGCATGATTCGCGAGGAGAGGCCCATGATGGGGGCTAACAGCGTGTGGTTATTCTCTTGCAGACTCCCAGTGTACATAGAGGAGAAGGCTCTGAACACCCTAGCCTACCTTTGTGACGGCGATGCGAGGACGGCACTGAACGGGCTCCAGTTAGCGGTTCAGGCCAGATTAGCAGTGGGGAAGACCACTGCTTTGAATGTGACCAAAGGTGGTTCTGCAGAGGGCATTCTGATAACAGAAGAGCACGTAAAGGAAGGGCTACAGCGATCTCACATCCTGTATGACCGAGCAGGTGAGTACCGGATGCAGTTTCTGACCTGCAGTGTTCTCAAGAGCTGATAGCCTCTATAATTTCTATTTCTTCTCCCCTTTTTTGTACCAGCCGCTCTGGTGAAACAGTGGTTGCACTGAAATCTGACCTAAAAATTACTTTTCCTTTACAGTGTAGCAGGCTCACTCAGAAATTCCTGCTAAACAGCGTTTCCTCTTACCGCTTAGGAAGTGTAGGTTGGTGGAGACACGTAGTTGCTGCCTTGCAAACAGTTGCATGGTGAAATTATTTGTTCTTTAAGGTTGTTAGAATATCATCTTTTAGGAGGGCTGCAATATAAAGAATGTCATCTTTTAGGAGGGCTGCAATATAAAGAGGGAGAAGTAATTTGATGAGGAGATCTGTTCTCGAAGGGTTGGAAATCTTCCATTGCACTTCTGCTCCTTTGAAGGTCTTGGAAGTGCTCACATTTACAACAATATGTTCTGTGAGAAGCTGAGCAGCTCACATTTACAACAATATGTTCTGTGGAAGCTGAGCAGTTTGCCTTATTTTTAGAGTCGCTTTATAAGGTAATGAATTTCGTAGCTTGCTTAGGGCAGGTCACGTAAATCTTAATTGCATATAAGGCTTCCTAACGTGATAACCACTCTTGCTGAATTTGTGACCTGGCAATGTCAGGCACTGCAATAGTTGACCTTTTTATGCAAGAGGGTTAAAAATCAGTGAGTGAATATTGGAGATCAGGTAAATCCCCTTGAAGGCTTACGCTAGTTCTTCAGCAATACTTGAATCGCCGTGTGGTACAGTATCAAATGATTATGCCAAGCAGTATTGGGACAGCTGATTGATTTTTGTTTTGCCACTGTTACCTGGTGTGCTCAGTTAACTGTCGCTACTCAAAATCTGTGATGGGAGATTTCTTGAGGTTGTGTGTGACGTGTATGTGCCTGCTGGCAGTCTGCTTGCTACGAAGAGGAAGTGATGGCTCCTTGTCAGGAAAAAGTCGGCTCGGCAGATATTGATACGGTGGCAGCTGGGAAGTGGAGGGTAAGCAGGGGGACGGAGAAGAAAAATTTTATAGGACCTATGGCAGGAAGAGGTCATGATTAAGAGGGAGCGGAAAATCTGACCAGTTCACTGGCGTGAGTCCCTTGCGTCGTGTGGGTCCCTCGTGTGTTTGCTGTCGCCTTGTGGCCGCTGCCACGCAGAGCTCTTGGCTGCGCCCAGCGCTCCTACGCCTACGGATTCCCTCGGAGATGGCGCGGAGTGCCTCTTGCTGAGGCTTGAGGACCACCATGTGTCAGCCCCTTCTCCGTGACAGGAATCCTTCGAGCTCTGTGTGGGGGTTTGGTGAAAGTTCTGGTTTTCTTGATGAATGCCAAAAAGCCTGCGATAGATATTCTCACAATAGCAGGTTGCCTAAGGACGTGCCTTTACAAAACTCCTCTCTTTGGCAGAGTAGTCCGTGTCTTGGTTGACCATTCTTGTCCAGAGTAGAGATACCTGGTTGTCCTTTTGTGTACAAAGGGCTTCTGGAGAGAGGCTGCTGTATACATAAAGACACTTTTCTAGCATCTTTTAGCAAATACTTCTTGAATCACAGTGCTTGTGGTGGAATCTGCACTCTTCTGATATGGTGTCCCTTATAAAACGAAGGGAGATGATGCTGTCCGATCATGATAGCAGCAGCGTGCGTTTGAGTGTACTGCGTTCATGTAGAAAGCGCCAAAAAAGCGTGTTCAGAGTTGTGTAAATACGGAATTTTCATTTCACATAATTGTTTTTGCTCACCTTCAGCAAAATTGGGCAAATATATGTAGTTACGCGTTCTTTTCTGTGCTTTCACGAAGGAAATTATTTGTAATCCAGTCATTAGGTGATTGTTCTGATCCGTGTGCAGACAAGTAGAGACAAGATCTTTGTGCAGGTAATTGATGCGCTTTAGCTGGAGGGACAAAGAAACAGCTCTAGTCGAATTTTACTCCCAGGAGTGGCATTTGCAGTGTGAGTGGAAACAAAACTATTTAGTCATATTTTAGCTTTTCATTGCATTTTTAAAAATTTTACTTTTTGGAGAAAATTATGCAGCAACCAATTTAATTGCAATTAAATGCAGATGGACAAAGACTAGATATTTAAAATAGGAGTTGTATTGCCTCTTCTTCCTCTTACGTCTTGTGTCTTACTGCTAATACTGATTTAATAGCAAATACTAAAGATAGATATCAGAACAATTGCAGGATTTTAACTCAGCATCTGTGTGGTAACATGGCTTCACTTTGCTAAAGACTGGGAATGTGTTAAACTGGAGATAATTTATTCTGTAATCTGGAACACGTTTGTTCCTTCCTTTTCTATGGAGAAGGTGTCTCACATCATCGTGTTTGTTTGCCAGCTTTATTCTTTTCTGCTGGACCAGAATGAGAAGTCTTTTTACCCATGCTGTCTTTCTAGTCCTTCTTCCAGGGCTTTCTTCTGTCTTTTATCGGTGAGCAGTTGGTGTTGACCTTTGGCTGAGACAGACAGGAGACAGTGTGAGATAGGGACTGATGCTTGACTTTTGTGGTGCCAACAGGGATTGCTTAAGAATTCCAGATATTAATTACGGTCAGTGAATGAAGCCTGTTTTCTACCAATAAGACTTTAGATGAATTAACACCTGAAGTAAATTAGCTGGAAAACTCTTGGTGAGCACATGAAGCGATTTAGGGGCACAAAACTGGAAATCAACAAAATTTATTCATCTGTATACATTAGACACTAGAAAATCCTGTCCTTCACAAAGCCTCTGTGCAGTATCTTCTTTCTATTAAGAAAGATGTTTGCCTTTGTGGAAATTGCATAGAGCAAATGTATTTTGATTCCAAAAACTCTTTAGAGTTTTGATTTCAAGAGGTATCCGGGATGCAGAACAAGAGTGATAGAGAAGTTTGCACGTGTCTGTCTCCCAGCTCAATTTGTAAGGCCAAAATCTATATATTGGCTAGCGAGTCTGAGAGACAGAACAAATAAATAAAGGTCTGTAAAAGGTTCTGTCTAATTTTTTTAAACTGCTTCTGGGATCTCACTTTGAAAATGTAAACTGTTTTTTTTTTTAAAGGAAACATAAAACCTCTGTTCAACTGTAACTGTATTTTGTCTATAATTAAAACTGCATATAAAGTACAGCTGCACAGTTTTTCTGAAGAATTCCAAGTACAATGTGTAAGTATTGTCATTACGTTGATGGCTCGGTCACCAACATTAACATTGTGAGGAAAGACTTAAAGGGAGAACGCTGTCCCCTTCCTCAGGCACGTACTCTGAAATACCTCACAGGTACAAATCTCTGGTCCCAGCTCATCCTCTGGATTCTTTCTGCCTCTCCAGTTGGCATCGCCAAGTACGACACTTCATGGTAGCCCAAACAGCGCGTAAAAGCATTCCAGCAAAAAGAATCTGGGCGAGTGCAACCTCTGGAGATATTTAAAGGCCATCTTCCTGACTTTTAAGAGACCAAGAGATGCCTTTTCCAAGAGGACGATGCGCTTTCAGCTGCTGGGGTTTATTGCTGCTAACTCAAGTGTTGTGACGGAGCACGGACACGCTGTTTGTGTTGGCACCAGTAGTGGCTGCGTACCGCAGGGCTCTTTGTGTGGAGGCCGATCAGAAATAGCTGTCTGCCAGCAGCGTGTGCAGAATTCCCGGTGGAACCACGCTACGAGCAGCGGTGCAGGAAGGCGGACCCGGGTTCTGACCTGGGAGGTGGAGGTCTCCCAGGCTACGAAAGGAGCAATCGCAGCGGTGTGGGGGCTTTGGTTTCTGAACTCATGCGTGCGGCCTTTTGTTTTGCAGGACCCACAAGCGACGGCGACGTGTTCTGCTGTGGCCCTCGGGCTGTAAATCCTTCTACCCGCAGGAAGAAGAGAAATGTTAACAGATGGCTGTGCGTGCAGCCAGTTGCCTTTATTACACACAGTTAGCTGTGAGCCACGGAATGCCAGGCACTTTGAAAAACAGAAAAGGCGGATGATGTGGGAAGTTTAACAGCAGTATCACAGGGAAATACTCGTACAAGTCTGATTAAAAGAAATGCATAAGAATCAAAACCAGCTGCACGGAGAAGAATTGCAAGCAGGAAGGGTCTCATTCAGGGTTTGTAATGTTGGCCATGTATTTTGAACTGTAACCCTGAAAGATCTGTTAAATGAATCACAGAATCACAGAATGGTGGGGGTTGGAAGGGACCTCTGTGGGTCACGCAGCCCAACCCCCTGCCCAAGCAGGGTCACCCAGAGCAGGCTGCACAGGACCTTGTCCAGGTGGGTCTGGAATATCTCCAGAGAAGGAGACTCCACAGCCTCCCTGGGCAGCCTGGGCCAGGGCTCCGTCACCCTCAGAGGGAAGAAGTTCTTCCTCATGTTCAGACGGAACTTCCTGTGCCTCAGGTTGTGCCCATTGCCCCTTGTCCTGTCACTGGGCACCACTGAAAAGAGCTTGGCCCCATCCTCCTGACCTCTCCAGTAGCTCCTCATCTTTCTTGAAGTGGGGAGACCATAACTGGACAGAGTACTCCAGGTGGGGCCTCACCAGGGCAGAGTAGAGGGGGAGGAGAACCTCCAATGGCTTGCTTTCTCCTTGCAGTCTGTATCTAATCTTATACTGAACTTTAATGTTAAAAAAAATTCCTTGTAAATAATTCAGTCTTCCCACCTCTTACTTAGTCTGGCATTTCAGGCAGTTGGCTTTTTTGTTTCATTCTGTTCATGGTTTTTTGTTTGAGCTGCTTAGTTTTCAGGGCCCTTCCAGTAGTGCAGGTGTCTGCAAGTGAACCCAGCATTTCACAGGGGCTTGTCAGGGTTGTGTGCTGCGATCCTGTTTCCCCCAGATTGTGTCATGTGCCATCATTGTACAGCCACAGCAGCGTTTCCTTTGTTCCCCCGTATAATACAGCAAATGCGTGTCTGATTTACTGCAATTTTACTTGCAAGTTTTACTTGATGCGAAATATCTTTTTTCTAAAATATCACTAGTGTATAGAACTGGATTTCTGTGATTATTCTGTTGTCTTCTCAGAGCTGTGTGCCTGTCCAAAAGCAGTGGTCAGTGGTTTATATGTGCTCATACTCTTTGTCAGCTAGGAAATGTTAATATAGAATCTTCTTCCTAGCTGCTTAAAATATTGGTATTTTTATTCTTTTGAAGGAAAGGTCATTAGGTTACCAAAACCAAATTGTTTGCCTTGTAATGTTTAAAAAAAAAAAACACCCTCTTTTTCATCTGCTGTTGCTCTGTTCTGCTTGTGTAGTGGAATGTTCCATGTGGCAAAGCGTGAAGCTGCTGAAAACGTTAATGAACACCAGAATTAAGTATACATGAAAAGAACTTGAAAAAGCAGGTTGTGTTTACGTACTGTGATCCAGTAAAATATATTCTGTTCCCTTAAATGCATTTCACTTGATTTCCCCCTAACAGCTCTGTGTATGTCTTCTCCCCTGTTCTGAATAGGAGAAGAACATTACAATTGCATCTCTGCGCTGCATAAGTCCATGAGAGGCTCCGATGAAAACGCTTCTCTTTACTGGCTCGCTCGAATGCTTGAAGGTGGTGAGGATCCACTCTACGTGGCAAGGAGGCTGGTGAGGTTTGCAAGCGAAGATATAGGTCAGTATTTGCAGTATTTCATGTTGGAATATTGTGTTGAATGAAGATCTGCCAGGCTTCTGGTTTCCAAAAACTGATGTTTGGAAAAAAAAAAATAACCACAAAACTGCGATACCCCAAATAGGTACAAAATACTGAAATGCTCCACATCCACCAAAAGCTTGGAATGTGCAGGCAGAGACCTACATGTGGTGTCATTGTGGTGATTACCTGTTGCAGGCGAAGCAAGGGTTTTTTAGGTCAGGTTTTGATAGTGTATTAATATGGATTCTTTTAAAGTCTAGTGATTGTAGGTCACCAGTAAGCTTGTGTCACAGAAAATGTGTATTTCGGGGATGTCTGGTTTTTTAATGACCGTGGAAGGTGAATGCTTACCCCGACTTGCGAATTTCAGATTTGATAGCTGGCTCCCTAGTTGTAAGACATCTTGATTGATGTACCCAAAGTAACAGACGCAGCAACACGTTTAGTAAATATGTGGCAGGTGAAGAGTTATGAGATCTGGGAAGCTATGCCTATATAGCAATATTTCCCCATTTCTTTCTCACCTCCAGAAAGTCAGCGGATCGTACGCTGGCAGCTGCTGCTCAGGCTGCCACGGTGTGGCAGCAGATTCAGACTGTAAATCACGCCCACGATTTAGACCTTTCTTGGGGGGGGACAGACAGAAGGAGGAAGGCTGTGGATGGAGGGAGTACATCTTATGTAGAGCAAAGCGTTGTACCAGAAGTTCCAACATCTGAGAAAGCAACTTTGAGACATGTGTGGCTAACCTTCCGTGTCACAGGAGGGGGGAAAGAAGGAAAGGAAGGACAGGAAGAAAGAAGGAAAGAGATGGTAACTAAAGTAAACTGGCTTTAACCTGCTTCTATCTGATCCCTTATTGCAGGGCTGGCAGATCCTCTGGCTTTAACACAAGCAGTTGCTGCCTATCAAGGCTGTCACTTTATTGGAATGCCAGAATGTGAGGTAAAGGCTTCGTTAATTTACTGATTTTAAAGTACTGCAAATTGTAAAATCTAGGTGTAATTGTAAGAAGAAGCAGAGATTGCAAGGACAAGACAAATTTAATTACTTGTTCATTCGGCATGCCTCTTCTCTGACAAGAGACCACTGTAGCTCTTAAAATAGATGCTGTAATTTGAAATAAAATTCCCTGCGTATTTGTTGCTAAAACGTGGTGTGTGAACTGAAGCGATTTTGCTCTGTCCATTTTTTCTCTGTTATAAATGAAGTGATATGTAGTGGTGTTCTAAATTGGCTATTCTTTTCTAGTTGTGAAAAATCACAAAGAACTGTGTTGCTGTTAAATAATAATACTCATATTGCAGCAGCAGGGAGAGGTCAGGTTAAAAACATAACCCCCGTCACACTACACAACCTGACTAACAGACCTTTTCGCAAAGAGCTTGAAAGAAGTCGTTTAACGTTCTCCCTTTTGTCCTTTCAAGGTCATTCTAGCACAATGTGTAGTGTATTTTGCCAGAGCACCAAAGTCTATAGAGGTGTACAGGGCGTACAGCAATGTCAAAGAGTGTCTAAGGACGCACACGGGACCGCTGCCGCCTGTTCCGCTGCACCTGAGAAATGCCCCAACGAGGCTCATGAAGAACCTGGGCTATGGTAAAGGCTATAAATATAACCCCATGTACAAGACACCTGTAGAGCAGGACTATCTGCCAGAAGAGCTGAAAGGAACAGACTTCTTCAGGGAACGAGAAACGTGACGGCCTTGCTCTGAATGGGTTCTGATTTTATGACTCGTGTATTTGTACTGGGATGGAAATTCCCCGTATAGTTTCAGCCGTCTCTTACTGTGGTTGAAAGTGTTAAGCCACTGAGCCTTTCAGATACTTTCATATCCTTCTGGTTTTACTACTGTTATTCTGAAGGTGTTTTGTAAAGAATTGCATTTAGGCAGTGCAGAAATGCAAAAAATAAGCTTTATCAGCATAGTGCCATTGCCCTCTGGTTCAAATGAAAGGCAGAAAAAAATGAGAGACTTGTATTTCTGGCTCTTGCTGTGAGAGGAGGAATATCATTGTGCTGCTTTTTGAAATCAGCATCTATTTCAGATTCTGAGAATGTTTATTTTCTGGAAAAATAGCACATTGTGCCCCCCTGCTAAAATACGGTAAAAAAAATAATTACAGTGTAATTCTTGCTCTTATGTTCCAGAGACTAATTTTGTACAACAACATTTATTAAACCAATAAAGTTGTTAAAATAGTGTCTATGTCTTTTTTTAAATATTCTTATGACAGCAGCGTGGTTTTGAAAGCTTGAAGTTCCTTTAACTTCATCACCCCTACTTTCCAGAGCAAGTTTAAATCATTTTGGAAGTAGAATAGTCATAAAAATCGCTGAAATGTGTTAGCTTTTGAAGTTGTATCACTTAAATTTTTATTGTGTGATGACATTTTGGGAAGTGCTTTTGGAAAGGAGATTCCTGGTAGTGAGACGGGCTCGTGCATTTCCAGTTGTGCGTCAGGAGTTCCATCAGCTTTGAACTGGAAAGCTGAGAGACACAAACTGAGGTACTGCTGTTACAACAGAGAGTAAACACACCCACATCCAAGATGCTGCTGACTGAAGGTTTCAGTGAGTGGATGGTCCGGCCATGGCAGTGTCCTTGACGTGGAGAACATCAGTGCTGATCGCTGTTCTTCTCCTCAGTCCTCCTTCAGTGTGCAGTGGTCCAGTGCTGAAGAGCCAGCAGCTGCTAGGACCGCGTGTGACCGTGCTAACCAGCAGTTGGGCAGCAGAAGAGGACCGCCGTGTGGCTGGAATTACAACAGCTAGTTAGCGAAGGCGATTTTCATTACTGAAATGCTGAGGAACCACTGGGTCAACTGTCCGCACTTGTCGAAGTGCCCTGGAGTAAACTGGCCACCAGCGATGAGGATATGTGTCTTGGCTGGAAACTACCACTTACACAGTGCAGTTACAGCTGGATTTACTCAGCAACTACTCAGGATTTGCTACCTGTGTGCCCGATACACCTTTGTGACTGGGTCTATACTGGTTACCTGACGGACTTCAAGGATTCCTGACCTGATCCTGCTTAGTTTATGAAATGTGACCAGATTAATGCTGACAGTGCTTTATGTAAAAATTCTGGTGATCTTCTGCTGTTCCACCAAGAATGCCACATCTCTGCTAGAAGAAGGAGGTGGCTCTGCTGACTTCCCTGACAGGTTGCAGAAGGTTACTAACTCTCCTCCAAAAGGACTATGTACGACAGATTTTTTTTTTTAAATAATATTGAATCACTTGGATTTTCCTGATGTATTGGCCGAACAATAACTGGTTCTTCGCATTTACAATATTGCATTTGACAGATTTTTAAAGCTCACATTCAGCTACATAATTAAATTTGTAAATAAATATTTCCTTTTTGGGCAAAGGGAGAAAACTGGTTTGCACTGGAGCCACGCCGAGCTCTTGGCACCTCTCTCGAGGCGTCGGCGTGCCGGAACCCAGCCACCTGCTGACCAGCTGCCCGGCGTACACGAGTTGCAGGCGGGCATTTCGCGAGAGCAGCGGGATTTGGTGCTGTGCGGAGCTGAGGTTGGAGGCGATGCCACAACTGCGCATCCGGACTTGGTTCAGAGCAGCTTCTGCAGACCAGGAGGTCGGTGGTCTGAGGATGCGGTTCCAAGTCAGGAAGCCAACTTTTAACTTTCCTGCAGCGGGAAATTCTGCTGGTTACTCTGTGTTTCAAGATACCACTGCTGGACCTTGGCCTGGATCGAAGGTTTTCAACACACAACCTGCAAAATCCATGCGGTCCATGCAGAAACTTTTTGATGACGGTCTTCTCTTGACCAAAGGGTGTTTGTATCGGAGATTAATTCTGTTGTGAAGCTCCCAGCGTGTGAAGTTCGTCTGCATGACAAAAACTAAAGTAGGACTTAAGGATCGTGGTGTAACTGAAATGTTTCAGAAATCAAACTGATTGCATGACTGCGTGCTGTTAGCGGGTTTGAGTCGGATTCTTTAAACATTTCTATGTCTTCTCCTTCCCCAGACAAGGACCGCTGTTCCTCACAGCAGGATGCTTTAGCAGGGTGGGAGCTACTTCTCTGAGTTTGTGTCTGCCCTTTCAAGATATGCAGAAAGACAGGAACAGAGGTGGAAAACATGGATTACATTAATCAAAAATACTCTTGGTAAAATTACTTGTGCTATCAACCAACGTTCATTTTATTTCTTAAGATACAGAGAGTTGATGTAAATATTTCTTTAAATGGCCCATGATTTGCAAGCTGACCCCTGCTTGCAAAACAAATCAAATTAATGGAAACTTCAAGATGTTTGTTCGTCTTACAGGTGTAGGAGAGGTTGGTGTGCTTCCTTTTGACGCAACTGGCAGTTAGAAGTGTTGGCCTAATGCAGTCCGAGGTATTTTTCTGTTCTTACTTTATTAGCAAAAAGCATGGAGTAACCTCACTGGATTTTAACTTTGCTAGTACCTACTAATGCTCAAATCTAATTCCCTGTAAAGTTTTACCCAAGGGAAACTCCAGGCTGTAGTTTCTGACCTGCAGTTGGCAGAAATCTTTACTCAAAGCCTTAACTTTCTATTTACAGCTCTTCTTTTAGTTATTTAAAACTTGATCAAACTTCCCTTGTTACAACAAATTGTGTCACAGACGTTACAGCAAAAGTTGCACGGAAGTTTTGCAGGATGCTCATCGTGTTTTGCCCCGTAAGCCCCTGTAGTACCCCACGTTGTGAAGCAACTTGATGTATTCGAGGTGGACCTGATCAGAATCCTCTGGTGGTCTCCACTCAGCAAAGACTTGGTGGACTGTAGCTGATAGAGCCTCCTGTCAGCCAAGTAATTCTGTGGCTGTAGAATTTTCTCTGCAGTATCTCCTCTGAGTTGCTTGCAGGCCACTGCAAAATTGCAGAGACAGCCTCTCCTGCGTTCTTGGTGCTCCCGTGATGGTCCTGTTCCGCAGGGAAAGCGCAGAAGATTGGCATTGCTGAGCTGGTGGCTGAAACGAGGGCAATGAACATATGCTGCTGCATGGAGGGAGTGCGAGCGAGGCACTGAGAAGGCCTGCAGGTAAGGCAAAGTGATTTAAAAGCAGTTCTTGACTGTAGCTCTTTGTCCCCTTAAACGTGGCCTGAAAATTTCTGCATCGACAGAAGCAAGAGCTGGAGGTGAGGGGAAACTGCAGCAATGCTGCACAGTCTGTGCACCAAACACTCTGGGTCGCCAGTGCGGGACGGTCTAGGGGTGGTACTTATGCTTTCTCTGTAAGCAATATGAGCTGTGGTTTAAGGAAATACAGATTTTTCTGCCCTGGTCTGAATAGACTGTGGGTTCTCCCTCCGTAAATACTTGGTCTGTGCTCCTTTCTCCCACCACTGGCCTCATGCATGATCCATACAGTGCTGTACTGAAGGTTTTCTCTGACTTGGCAGCCCTGTTAGTTGGAAGGAGGCAAAGACCCATAGCCCTATGCAAAGCCTGGGTCTTTTCCTCATCTACCAACTCACACTTCCATCTACACCATGATATATAAATATTCTTTTATAATATGCTGCAATGTTAAGGAAAAAGGATAAGGGATCTGTTCTCCGCACTCCCTGATGATGATGAGGCTATGCCTGTTCATGGACAGAATTGCAAATTCTCTAAAAAACGCAGGAAAAAAATTAGGTCAGATCAATCACAAAGGTAATAACTGAAGTGTTCTGTACTAATAGATAAAATATGACTTAAATGGGTACGTTGGGATGGAGATGTAGGCATTGTCTTTCCTGTAATTTTACAGACAAGTTATGCAACAACAGAAGTTGCAGAAGCTTGAAGTACCCACAAAGCATCATTCCTTATGCCTCATATTACAGAGAAAATACAGAACTGTAAACCATAAACTGTCAAGTCTCTCAGCTGTCTAGCAGGGTCATTGTGTTTTATCTGGTAAAAAACAACTGAGATGGCTGAAATCATAATACGGCTAAATTTTTGCTAAAATTAGTAATTACAGTGTCTGTCCCCTAATACAGATTAACTGACTTTTGAAAAAAAAAAAAAAAAAAGGGGGAGAACCTTCAGGGTAATACCAGAATTATAAAATACATGACACCAAAAATTGTACTTGAAGGGGAAGAATTTCTCCCACTTTGTAGAACTTTTCCACAACCTTTCGTGGTACAGTGTATGGTAGCCACAAGATGACTACTCGTGGAGCTCTGAGATTGGGTGCCAAGTGGCTGACCGGGGTCATACGTGTACTGATGCAAGAAGTAGGGCTTTCCATCTCTGTGAGGGCTTAGGTAGTGCCTGTTGCGTTCTGTGGCATGAGTATGAGAAGTCATTGCCTAGAGCAGAGGATATATTGGTTAGTTACAACCCATTAGTGGGCTATAATTATTTTTACAAGACCAGTTTAACTCCAGATTAATTTACTCGCAAACACTGAAGACAGCAACAAAAAAGCGGGTTTATTTTGCCTTGCTAGGCTAGTATTTGGAGGACAGAAGGTGTTGCTATTTGGGTCAGATATTAGAGGACATTCCTGGTGCATGCTTGTGGAGTATGCTAGGCGAGGGATTTAGGGATGAAGAATACCAGCAAAGTGTGAAGACAGGTTTAGAATTGCTAGTGAGACATTTCAGACGCTTGTTCTTGGTAATGTTAGCTTTTATATATTGCAAGAAATTGAAATTACCAAGATAATTCAGCTGTAAAATATGTCACAACTATTCTCTTCTGGGCTTGGACACACGTTGCCAGAGATTTTGGTCAGCAGCTGCCCTGTCTTGTCTAAGCAGTGGGTTCTAAAAGTGGCAGTGGGCTTGGTGTCTCCTGGTGGCATCTGATGAGGCCCAGAAGCTGATGATGCTGATAGTTTGTG